TGAAATGAAACCTTTTACAAATAGAATGAAACCTTTTCCAATTGAAATGAAACCTTTTACAAATAGAATAAAACTTTTTCCAAATTAAATGAAACCTTTATTCTTACCTAAGGAAATATAATATTTGCACTAATTTTAAACCAATATTTGAAAATTAAATCAAAGAATATTAACAAATATAGTTGTATGGCTATGTAATTAACATAAATATTCTTTAATTCGGTGTGATTTCATTTAATATCTTTACTACATAAAACTAAATAAATAGTAATACAAACTGGGGTTTCTTGACATTTTAATAAATAAATATTTAAGAACAGGAATTGAATACCCGGTCCTAAATGCGAAATACATATTTGACTTAATAAATTGTTCATGATAAGGTAACTGATTATCTTAATGAAGGGGTTCCCGACTTGCAGCTTGTGGGATTTTCAAAACCATGTCCATAACGTAGTTAGAACAATCTTGCCGAGTAAGCTTTTGAATACTTCGCTCGATTACATCAACAATGTTATGTTCCATTGAAACGTCACACAGCTCAGCTCTTGCACATAATTTTATTTTTGAAAATGCATTTTCGATTGGATTTAGCATTGGAGAATTAGGCGGTAAGAATTTAAGGTTGCATCTTTTGGATTCGATCAAATTTTTTATGTCATGTCGCTTGTGTATTTGAGCGTTATTTTCCAACTCTTTTCCAACTCCATTTCCGAGGCTGCAAATTTAACCTGCATAAACATAAATTCCGAAAAAACATTTATAAGAAGATACAAACAAAATTTTGGAACATTGAAGGAAAATAAGCGTGGAGGAAATAATCATCAACAATTTATTAAGTCAAATATGTATTTCGCATTTAGGACCGGGTATTCAATTCTTGCTCTTAAATATTTATTTGTTAAAATGTCAAGAAATACCCCAGTTTGTATTACTATTTATTTAGTTTTATGTAGTAAAGAAATTAAATGATATCACACCGAATTAAAGAATATTTATGTTAATTACATAGCCATACAACTATATTTGTTAATATTCTTTGATTTAATGTTCAAATATTGGTTTAAAATTAGTGCAAATATTATATTTCCTTAGGTAAGAATAAAGGTTTCATTTAATTTGGAAAAAGTTTCATTCTATTTGTAAAAGGTTTCATTTCAATTGGAAAAGGTTTCATTCTATTTGTAAAAGGTTTCATTTCAAGTGGAAAAGGTTTCATTTAATTTGGAAAAGGTTTCATTTAATTTGGAAAAGGGTTCATTTAATTTGTAAAAGGTTTCATTTAATGTGGAAATGCTATATATTAATATTTTCTATCAATCTTCTAAAAAAATTATATTAAATTATAAAACAATGCCCAATTGCAAATAATAGTATATTTTTAATGACGTGTATATTTTTCAGATTATGGAAAAAAATAAGGTTGTAAAGTTACAACAAAATCAAACGATCAATAAAAATAAAACAAACGGGGGCAGCGATATAAACGATAAAACAGGTAAGTTTGTGTTTGTTAAAACTTTTTTATTTCTTTATATGGAGTAATATAAGTAATTTTAAAATAGTAAGTAAGGGGCCATATTATGACAGTCGATTCAAGTCAGTTTCTATTCGACAATAAATTTCGATACGACTTTTTCTACTGTATGACACCATCCGATCGCAAATTTGTAATTAGATTAGATCGGAGTCACTTTGTTACTTTTTTTGAGATTTGTATCTGGAAGACTTCCTTAATTTTGTATTTATTATTTTATAGCAATAGATCTTGCCACAGTTCCCTCTTTTGGCCCAAGGTGTTGATATTGATAGTAGTACGTTCATATCTTAATTTATCAAAACATATAATCCAAAGTGGTTTATTATGTTATATATTCAGCCCATTTCGGCTTTGATCCTCTCCGTGCTGGTATTATTGTTGGGGTTTTCTGTTTTCGACACCAATTTTAGCTACGAGCAAACCCTCGATAGTTTTTATCGGAAATTTTGACGAAATGTATTGATATCGAATGCGGTCAAATCACATTGAATAACAACGACAGAAACAACTCTATATCGATGCCATATTTTGCCACAAAATTTTTTTATTATTATAAAAAATTGTTAATAAATTTTTCAAAAAGTTAATAAGTTTTTAAAAAATTGTTTTACATTTTTAACAAATAAACATTTTTAGAAAAGTTTCCATTGAATTTTCTCTATTGTATTTTGTGTACGGTGTTACACATCAAACTCTAGGAAATGTAAAAACGGTAATATAAACAATTCTCTATGCAATTATAGTCAAATACAATAAGAAGGTGAAAAATTTATAAAATTCTGAGTGAACATTTTTCGCTGTTTTTACAGTGCCTTTGTAAACTTTTAATTGTTTATTGTAAGAACACAGAAAGATTTGAATGTTCGTTTTCTTTCGTTAAACAGTTCTTTGCATTCTGACAATCATTTCAGACATAACTAATGTACTTTCTTTCATATACATTACCTACAAAAAAATATTACAAATTTTCGTAATGTGCCATAGGTGGAGCACCTTTAAACATTCACAGTAAACTCGAGTAAAAAAAGGATTTGTTAACTTTTGGCTTCGATTTTTTAAATTTCAAATAGGTTAAAAATACTACGACATTAACTGTTATTTTCAACAGAATAATTTTTGCTTTTATGCCTTTTATGCACTAATAAGTTTTGATCAGATTTTTTTTTAATTTCAAACATTTATGTTTATGTTTTAAATAAATAAATGTATTTCTGATATGTATTCATACATATCATATAAATATATTTGAACATAATCACTGTAAAAACAATGTCGTTGAAGATTTCCAAGCTTTGTTCAAAGCTGCTATCCTGGGGGACAGTTTTGAACATACCGACTTCGTCCATTAAAACAGTAATAAAATATTTAAATCGAGCTTAAAGTATGTCATATGTATATTCAGTGTAAAGGTTACATCTGTAAAATTTATAAAAACACAAAATTATAAAATAAATTTATAAGGCTTGAAAGCAAAAAGTGTTGGAAGGTGCCATATATAGCATTTCCACATTAAATGAAACCTTTTCCAAATTAAATGAACCCTTTTCCAATTGAAATGAAACCTTTTACAAATAGAATGAAACCTTTTCCAATTGAAATGAAACCTTTTACAAATAGAATGAAACTTTTTCCAAATTAAATGAAACCTTTATTCTTATATAAGGAAATATAATATTTGCAGTAATTTTAAACCAATATTTGAAAATTATATCAAAGAATATTAACAACTATGGCTATGTAATTAACATAAATATTCTTTAATTCGGTGTGATTTCATTTAATATCTTTACTACATAAAACTAAATAAATAGTAATACAAACTGGGGTATTTCTTGACATGTTAATAAATATTTAAGAACAAGAATTGAATACCCGGTCCTAAATGCGACTTAATAAATTGTTGATGATAAGGTAACTGCTTATCTTAATGAAGGGGTTCCAAAAAAACATTTATAAGAAGATACAAACAAAATTTTGGAACATTGAAGGAAAATACGCGTGGAGGAAATAGAACTAAGTTGTTGACTCCACAACTTTTAAGTCTGATCGAGTTCTATATAGAAAGTCAACCTGGAATTACCCTCAAAGCCATAAAAACTAAACTGTTGAGAGAAAATGATATAAATATTTCCACATGCTGCATAGAATATGGATTACGGAAATTAAAAATTACGTTGAAGATGGCCTCTATTGAAATAGAACGAAAGAATGACTCCAGAACATTAGGCTTGAGACAAAAATATGCTCAAGACTTTACAAAATGGATACCCCAACGAGGAGAAAAATTAATATTCATTGATGAGTGTGGATTTAATCTTCACATACGAAGAACCCAAGCCTGTTCAAAACAAGGAACAAGAGCACACATTATGTTGCCTACGGTCAGAGGTCGTAATGTCACTATAATTGCAGCAATAAACAACGCGGGAGTTGTACATCACACAATCGTTTCTAATTCCAGTGTCAATGCAGACAGATTTAAATTATTTATAGAATTTTTTTTTTTTTTTTTTTTTTAGAAAATCAATCCAGAGTTGGAAAATAACGCTCAAATACACAAGCGACATGACATAAAAAATTTGATCGAATCCAAAAGATGCAACCTTAAATTCTTACCGCCTTATTCTCCAATGCTAAATCCAATCGAAAATGCATTTTCAAAAATAAAATTAAGCTGAGCTGTGTGACGTTTCAATGGAACATAACATTGTTGATGTAATCGAGCGAAGTATTCAAAAGCTTACTCGGCAAGATTGTTCTAACTACGTTATGGACATGGTTTTGAAAATCCCACAAGCTGCAAGTCGGGAACCCCTTCATTAAGATAAGCAGTTACCTTATCATCAACAATTTATTAAGTCAAATATGTATTTCGCATTTAGGACCGGGTATTTAATTCTTGTTCTTAAATATTTATTTATTAAAATTTTAAGAAATACCCCAGTTTGTATTACTATTTATTTAGTTTTATGTAGTAAAGATATTAAATGAAATCACACCGAATTAAAGAATATTTATGTTAATTACATAGCCATACAACTATAGTTGTTAATATTCTTTGATTTAATTTTCAAATATTGGTTTAAAATTACTGCAAATATTATATTTCCTTAGATAAGAATAAAGGTTTCATTTAATTTGGAAAAAGTTTCATTCTATTTGTAAAAGGTTTCATTTCAATTGGAAAAGGTTTCATTCTATTTGTAAAAGGGTTCATTTCAATTGGAAAAGGTTTCATTTAATTTGGAAAAGGGTTCATTTAATTTGGAAAAGGTTTCATTTAATTTGGAAAAGGTTTCATTTAATTTGGAAAAAGGTTCATTTAATTTGTAAAAGGTTTCATTTAATGTGGAAATGCTATATATTAGACAAGTTTAAAATCTATTCAAAACACACACAATAAATAATCATCACATTCCATATTAGAAGGAAAGTGATACAAAGTCATATGTGTATAAACATGTTGAAAGATTCGTAAATTATTCTTAGGAGGATCAGGATTTTGATTATCTTTCATTATAGATTTACAATATAATTTTAATATTAGTTATAATTTTTATTTTTAGTTGCTCTCTTAAATTCAAAAACAAAAGATGAATTTGTCGAGTACGATCTTATCCCGCCAGATGGTGGCTGGGGTTGGCTAGTATTGGCTGGTTCAATGATGGTTAACATTTTAATACCGGGAACAATTAAAAGTTTTGGTGTGCTCTTTGTTGAATTTCTAGAAGCTTTTGAAGCATCGCCCGCCACAGCCGCATGGATTCCCGCTTTATGTTATTTTTTGTACAGTTCATTGGGTAAGTACAGTATGTATATTTAAATCAATTATATATACTGAATATTTGTTACACAGGTCCTGTTTCTAGTATTCTTTCTGTAAAATATTCATACAGGACTGTGACATTACTTGGTGGTGCATCTGCTGCTCTTGGAATGATACTATCTTATTGGGCATCATCTGTGGCTTATTTATATTTAAGGTTTGTAATATATATATATATATGTCTATTTCTCATCAAATTAAACTTTTTAGTTATGGAGTTCTGGTAGGAATTGGTGCTGGGCTATCTTTTCCACCCACAGTATATATAGTCACATCTTATTTCGTAAAGTACCGCGGTCTTGCAAATGGATTATGTATATCTGGAAGTGCTTTGGGATCTATAATTTTGCCACCTGTTTTAAGATGGCTTTTGGAAACTTATGGTTACAGGTAATATTTTTATAATATTATTTTATGCTGGAAGTGCTTTGGGATCTATAATTTTGCCACCTGTTTTAAGATGGCTTTTGGAAACTTATGGTTACAGGTAATATTTTTATAATATTATTTTATGCTCTAAATCCTTTATATATATATATATATATATATATATATTTGGCAAGAAAAAATTAAAATACATATATGTATATATGTACACAGTACCTGCAAAAATAATAAAAACAAGATTTTTATAATGAACTAGCAGACCCGGCAAACGTTGTTTTGCCTTATGAGAATTGCATCAAAATGGGGTTGGTAAAAACTAACGAATTCATGGAAAATTATTTCAGAAACTATTTCCAATAAATGTATGTCAAATTTCCGCAATAAAAAAATATGCATAATATTTTTCTCATTGCGGTAAACCTTAATTTACTGAAACGCAAATATACTAAGTTATTGTTATTTGTACATATTAAATCATGTCAGCATGTGTGGCATTTCAGTTTATCAATTGGTCGAACTTATTCCACCAAACATTTTTCAGGAGAAGGCCAAGTTTTGATCCAACTACTCTTACCTCAAAAGATAATTTAGTATTGATGGCGTAATTACTATTTTTATTTTAATCACATACGATTCATAAGTCCTTTGAATCATCAAAATTGTTGCAGACGTTTTTGAGTTATAAAAGGTGTAAGTAACTCAACATTCGATTACTCCAATGTCCGACTTTTTTTATATATACCCTGTCGTACATTCAACTAACTTTAAACTAAATGTAAGCTAACTTTTTTCAATTAGTAGTGGTTGATAAATCGACTTTTTTACATGGAATCAACTGACTATTTTAACATTGTGATGTTCTACGAAGTAGTCAATTGTCCGAATTCGCACTACTTTCAGTTAACTTTATAGTCAGTTATCCAGCAGTTAACTTATAGTTAACTTTTTGCAGTTAGCTATATATTTACTTGTTTAAATACGCTTTCAGTTAATTTTTTTAAACTAACTATTATTAAGTCAAATTGTAGTCAGGGAAAAGTTAGTGTTTTGCACGTTAGGTTAAAAGCCACTATTTGTATCTTGCTGAAATAAAACGAGGTTTAAAAAATTTACATTATTATAAAACAAAAAATTATTAATATAAAAAAACATAACAAGGATCACATCATTTATCACAAAGATTTTATAAATATTTAGAACATTTGTTTTTTGATTATTTTTAAGGCGTTGCGTAGATTAGCATCTACATCCTCAGAGCCAAGGGATCGGCAGGCATCTGTTTAAATGATAAATATGTATGAAAATGTGTACATGATTTTAGATTTAATTCATATATATTTTTTTCAAAGGAAAGTCATTCAAACGCTTTTCCATGAATCCCCTCTAAATTTATGTCCATGCACAAATTATTTGCTATTATCCCTGTGAGGGGTTTTGGCACACGTGCCCTCAATATTATTTTCATTGTATTTATCTGTGGAGTAAAAATAAATCATTTAATATATACATAAACAAAATCAGAAATGGTTTTAGGAAACTTACGTAGTCGTTACGATTATTCGCCGCCTCAAATGTCGTTTACTCGCACTTCTCATGTTTCTTTTCTTTCTTCTGTATTAAAAAAAAATTGTGTGTTCAAACAACCACATTACATTTAACCACATTATTTATTACATTTAATTATAAACTCGCTTTAAAACTTTAGATAATATCACAACACTTTATTAACAAACGACTTTCAATCAACAAATTAACGCGGAATTTGTTGTTTACAAAATTACACTTCCAAGACGTAAATTAAAATTGACGCCGTTTAAATTGGACGGCGTTGGTGGCCGTTCGCCGATATTTTCATATATTATTCATTTACATTTTTTTGCATTGCGTAGTGGTGGTTTGTAGCCAGTCTATACCAGCTAACTTTAAATTGTTTTTTTTTTTTTTTTTTTTTTGTAGTTAGCTACTCATTTGACGACATGGTATATTCTTCCCGAATATGAGAAAATATTCAAAAATACATTCCATGGCTAGCTAAATTGTTGAAGTATTTGTAATCTTATGGAGCGAATATTTAATATTTATCATGGACAATTTCGTATATTCTAAACATAACAACGTACGTATTAGCTGGTTTTGTTTCCTATTTAGAATACGTGCCAGTTTCTGCCAATGATTCAGATATCGTGTGGGGTATATGCCATGTGTTGGTTTTATAACATAGACAAATTGGTTCGCCTTTATTGTGCGTTTTTAAGCCTCCTTACCTTTGGTCCACATTTTGGCATAGTCCGATTATAGGTACTTTGACTCTGCAAGGTAGTCTCATGCTGTCGTATGTTTCCAATTTTTTTTTATAAATTTGATTTTGACAACATTCAGCTTTCACAATTTAAACGAAAATATCTTTCTTCGAAATGTACGCAAATCTTGTGTTCAGTGGCAAATATTTTTGAATCATTTATATTTATTAATATTTTTAAGTTGCCTGCCTATAAAACCTATAAATGTAAATTGCAACATTCTTAGTTAAATCTTGAGAACAATGTGGAGCCTTAACATGCGTAACATTTCATGGAACTTATTTTTCATTTTATTTAAAATTGATATATGACAGCCTTACCTAAAATTCTACTAGCTCGTTCGACGTTTTTCACCACAGAAGTGAAACACATGTATTTAATGAATGTTACCGAAATACGTCGAACGTACAAAATTTTAAGTTGAACAATTTCAACTTTGACAGACCGTATTTTTAATTTTTTTCTTTTGTTGAAAACAAAAACGAAACATTCTGGAAATTTGAAATTTCGAGTGAATTTTCAATTTTGTTTTGCGGTTTGTATTATTTGCTGGAAGATATGGATTCGACGTATTTGGGTAATACTGTCGTACACAACATTTGGCCATAGTGGGGAAGTTGAATATTTGTGTACGCCCCGTCGGATTTTAGGTAACGTTGTGAATTTCACAATAAAAAGGGTTGCCATGTCTCTGTAAATTGTGTGTATATAGTATCACTTTATGGTATATGCCCCACATAATGTTAGGCAAATCGGTCCAGCCGTCCTTCAAAATATGTTTTTCAAGATTTTCGCGAATTTTTCTCAATTTTTTTTCATAAAAATCTTCCCACTTCAATTACAGATAACTGAACGAAATTTTAAATCGGCCCGCCGTTCTAAAATGATAAGATAATGTATAGTATCTTATCATCATCATACATACATCATATTTATAAATAGATTTAAATTAATTTTACTTCAAGTTGGTTAGTTATTATTTATTTCGTTTGACTCCCGCGCTTTTAACCAAATACGTCGATTAGCAATCTCTAATCGGGCAAAACACAAAGAAGCAAAAACAAAAAAAAAAACTAAATATTGCGCCATCTGTCGGATTTACTTCTAACTACACAGAAACACTCCTTACGCTTCATAGAGCTTGTACACACAATTTGGTCCAAATCGGTGCAGTAGTTCTTGGCTTTAGCGATCACGAACATACACGTAATTTTTATATTTCACGTGTTCCATGTCACGCACTGTTACAGCGTGCGAAATATAATCGTTTGTTTAGTTAAGAAAAATTTGTTTCCGAAATTTCTTTTGCAATTTTTATTAAATAGTTTTACGCCTTCTACAATACCTGCTAATTTTTTATGATTATGTTTGTAAATTTCCGAGATATTCAGAAAAACTTAGCGTACGCACGCGCTACAAATTTTTTCCTTTAAAAATTGGATATTATTTTCGATATGAAATTTCTGAGAATTGGGTGGATTTTGCAGATTTTTTTTACAGCTATAAGGGGTTTATTTTTTGAGAAAAAAATTCTAACATATACTTTTTTAACTAAGAACACCGTCGCGTACATATTACATTCGTAACGCACCGTTACACACATTTACTAAACAATTTAAATTCAAAACAGAATGTTTTAAATATCTAATTCTTATGGACCAATCATCACGAAATGTTTGCCTGTAATTCCGGTTCTAAATCAACTTATTGAGAATGAATGTAACATGTGCGTGACGGATACAAAATTTTTCGATGGAGATAGAAGACAAACATTGCTTTATTTGAGATTGCCATCACAAGATCCAAACATAACAGCATTATCAAAAAAATCTCATATTAGAGTCTGTATAGAAACATATGTTAATTTTTTCACGCACGCGTTACGTATTTTCTTACACTATTTAACTGCACTTACCACGGGATTCTGTTGTTATATATAAATGCCCAAGTTACTTTCCACATTATGCTTGACAAATTGATTTAACTACTCCAACAAAGGGACACTTCAGACATTACACGATGTTTTAAATACGGTAATTATGTAAGAAAATGCATGCAATAATCATCTATCTTCACACTGTAGACATCTGCAAGAATGTACTCGTACAATGAATGCCCATCCACATTCATGGATGTTAAGTTGTATTCAGAGCACACAATAACATTAAATGAGTGCAAATGAATTCAACCACCGAAGTTGTGTTGTTCTTCGTTGTGCTTTGTCCGATCAAACGATCTTTGAAACTTTATCAGTGAGTAATTGTGAGAAATAATGTCTTATTTTTTCTATTAAATAAAAATGATTAAAAACTGTGGAAAAATAAGTAAAAGTTGCATGAAATGACGCAAGAAAAAAAACTGCGGAATCTTCCTTAGGGTATATAAAAAAATAGGCCTATGCAGGGTTTTTTCCCTAAATATTGCAAATGAGAATACAAAAGTTCCGTTCCAGAACCTAAAGGAATCTACTCATTTTACTTTTTACTCGAAAACCGTTCCTCAACCCACAAAACTGGTAAAACATTGACTCAAATTTAAGAGAACACAAAACAAAATGGCGTTCTCTTTGTAAACTTTTTACTCGAGATTGGCTGTTATGTTGATTTTGAAGTATTGTCACCTAATTTTGGCATATTTACTAGATTTCCGTTTCCGAAGTTTTCAAATTATTTTGTACTTGAGAGCAATTTTGAAATGTTTCCCTTTTACTAGATTTACTATTAAAAAAGTACTGGAACAGACCAAAAGTTATATGAGGCTATACCTAAAGGTTACCAATATTGATTACTTCTCGGGGAAATATATTTAAATGTTGACTGAAAAGGGTCATTTTCGAACGTGGCGGTTTAGTTTGGTATCTCCAAACCCTCTGGAGGTAGTAATATTATAACAAAAGAACAGAAGGACTAAGTAATAATGACTAAATCGCCTAAAAATGTAACATATTGTAGAATATAAACTGGCAATTTCGAGTACTGAACATCCCCCACGCTAAGGGGTACCCAATAGGGACCCAAATTAAAATGAATTCTGTTGAACATTGTGTTCAAAAATATTGAAATTTGTGAGGTACTGATATTTAATTGATACACTGGTTGCCAAAACTAAAGCAACTGAAATTGCAAACAGAATAAATAACCTGAAACTTTTTTAAAAATAAAGTTATAGTGAAAGTCTTTCAGAAATAAAATGGTAATTTATTCACTTAAAAATAAAAAACTAAAACAAGTCCTTGATATTTTCTTATAAATAAGTAAATTTTGCGAGTAAAGCAGAGTCACGAGAGAGACATTGAATCAATAAAAGACGAGACATTGAATCAATAAAAGTTCAATTGGATCTTTGGGTATCAAATTGAACTTTATGTTTGTTAGTGATTCCCTTTTGATTTTTATACCAATATGCTCCAAAGATGTTTCTATAGGTTGAAGATCTGATGATTGTGTTGGCCTTTATAGAACTCTGATTTTTTACTCCCGCAACCAATGTTTGACACGTTTTAGTGTATGTTCGGAGGTTATTGTCAAGCTGAAACACCGAAGGGAACTACAGCGTTTTCCAACACATTTGTATAAACAATCCGATCCATTACTTCATAAATAAATCTAGTAAATATATCAAATTCCCATTACGTCCGATTTTATGTAAATTGTGCACCAAACTTCCAATTTGAAATTTAGCATACATTGTAGAATGGCATATGTATAGATTGATGTTAGTCGGTTCACATAAATATAGATAGATAAAGATCACATATTTAAGTCCGTTAAATTTCATGTCAATGTTCCTTCGAAGAGCGACGTCTGTAAGGATACATATGTAGACTACGCCAAAGTGGTGAAGGGTATAAAATAGTCGGCCCAGTCCGACTTTATTACTTTTCTTAATGGTTTTACATACATATTGGACATCATTTACGAAAAACACTAGAGTACATCTTCACTAATTGAAAACATATGTTTATTGCTAAGGAAAAACCGCGAGAAAGCGCATGTGTTTAAGATGTATTTGACAATAACATTAGAAATTAATTTCGCCCTATTATGCGTGAATTATTTAATTGAACAAACAGGTCAACTAAGCGTGCATCGGATAATTGATTCCCCGGTTAATTGAACAAAAATTTTTGCAAATTTTGATGTGCAATTAACCGAAAAATACTGTATGTATTTTTTACTGCTATGACAATTTGTTGATCAATAGAGTAACTTCGGGTAATGTGGACCACCATCTTCTTTTTTTTTTGATATTGTGGGGGTAATAATGATAAAAATTAAAACAAATTGTTTTCACAACATAGTAGATTTGTTGACTAAATATATTCCAGATCAAACATTATATAGATTTGTCTATAAAAATGTCCATCCATCATCCACCAAAGCAGCTGTAATTTCGCATATCGAGTTAATTGAACAAAAATTTGTGCAAATTTTTATGTGCAATTAACCGAAAATACTGTATGTATTTTTTTCTGCTATGACAATTTGTTGATCAATAGAGTAACTTGGGGTAATGTCGACCACCATCTTCTTTTTTTGATATTGTGGGGGTAATGATGGTAAAAATAAAAACAAATTGTTTTCACAACATAGTAGATTTGTTGACTAAATTTATTCCAGATCAAACATAAACATTATATAGATTTGTCTATAAAAATGTCCATCCATCATCCTTGCTTCATTATCCAACCAAAGCAGCTGTAATTTCGCATATCGAGTTTTCAGAGGATAGAATACCTTCTCGCAGATTAAATGCGCCCTCGTTTCGAACTCGTCCCGACGTTTTTATTTAAGTAGAAATTAAAAATCTCCGATTGTAATTACAGATAAACGTATATTTTTGTTAAAGTAAACAAGAAAACAACAAAACTTATTTATATTCGAGAAAAACAAAGTGTTCGAGTCACACTATTACAATCAGGTTTAAACTAAATTTTCAACATTGCAATTATTTGTTTAAAACCAAGTTTGATGTTTGTTTTCACTAATTAGGAAAAAATTTATCAAGGTGGCATTGACATATTTTAAGCAGTTACTCTACGAACTGATGTTCTTTTGCAGCCTCCCTCCGCGCTGAAGTGTCACCACGGATATAGTTGCATAAAATAAAGTTATAATTCGAGAAATCACTGGTAATTAGATGTTTTATCGGAGTACTGTATTTGTTCCTAGCCATTTTTAATTTTTTCTGGCAGTGAGTCAAAATTGAAAGCCAGGCACATGTTATTGTAATAAAATCCATTTAAAATGATCTATAACAAGTGAAAAAGCGTTAAGTTCGGCCGGGCCGAACTTTGGATACCCTCCACCAAAAATATACTGACAGGTACTTGAAATAAAAATATAGGGAACATATCAAAAAGTGTACCCATACCGACATTTCTACAAACCGATTATGGTCCTAAATATTGGTCCTAGACACCATGTTTCTTTGGACCAAATTTGTTTCAAAAATTTTTGATTTCATCCACACTTTGCCCATCTTATATTTTCTTCCGAAATAAGTGCAGCGGATTCGGTTGAAAAACGCGCTCAAGAACCACAAACTACCGAAATTTGGGGGTACCCTTATATGGGAGCTATCCGAAAAAATGGACCTATACTTATAATTTTTTATGGAGCGATTTGAAACCTATTACGAACATAATATACTAAATTACAGCCAATTTGGTGCAAAAATACGATCAAAACCCCAAAAATACTGAAAATTAGTAGGTACCGTTATGTGGGGGTTACCAGAAAAAGTGGACCTATATTTATAATTGTGGAGACATTTAGTACTCAATAAGAACTCATTGTACCAAATTTCAGCGTATTCGGTCGAAAAACGCGCTTAAGAACCCCAAAATACCGAAAATTGGGGGTACTGTTATATGGGAGCTAAGCCTAAACGTGGACCGATATATCCCATCTTCGAACTTGACCTGCCTGCAGACAAAAGACAAACCTATGCAAAATTTCAGCACCCTATCTCAATTCCTTCAGAAGATAGCGTGATTACAACAGACGAACGGACATGGCTATATCGTCTTAGAATTTTACCCTGATGAAGAATATATATACTTTATAGGGTCGGAAATGAATATTTCGATGAGTTACAAACGGAATGACAAAATTAATATACCCTCCATACTATGGTGGAGGGTATAAAAATCGAAACAGGTGCAGAAACCAAAACATAGAAATTATAACGGTAAAAATAACTTAAATTTCACAATGAGACAATTATCTTATCCATAAATTATTACTTATTCATAACAAATTTTGAATTTAATTTTAAAGATAGTTTTAATTGAATAAATTACCCGATTTTGACGAGTTACAAACTTTATAATATGCCTTTCATACTATTGTGGAGTGTAGAAAATCCATATTATATATTCGGATAATTCGAATACTATTGTAGAACTCGAATGCGCTTTACACACTTCATTGTATAAAACATGTTCGTAGACAAACTCGTCGCAGTTGTTCAAACTTTGTGTGTTACATTCATACCGAAGGCAACATACACAATGAATACCGTGTTCGTCGAGTCTGAATCGTGGGTTGTATGAATCAAACGGGTACAATAAATTCAAAACTCTCATTCTTGAGACAATTCGTGTTTGTTGTACACTCACTCATTGCACTTCATTTCAAACAAATTTATAGAATAGAAGCCATTAGTTTGTATAAGTGACGCATGGGTGGTGTTTTTGTGCATTCATGCAGATGTCTACTTCACACTAATATATATATATATTAATATAGTTATTCTAGCATGTCATCGTGGCTATTAAAAAAGAATAAAACTACAAAATGAACTACAATTGTTACAAAACGGGTGGGATAAACTCAAATAACTGCCAGAAAATTAACACTTTTTTCAAATAAATGTAAACATAATAAAAAAGTTTGAGATATGTTTATGAACGGACGTAGACGAATATGTGAAATATATGTATATCTGAAACAAAAAGTAGAATATCGCAATAGCGGCATAAATATTCTCATAATTTTTTATAGAAATCAAAAGCACGATGTATTTTTTTAAATATTTGTTTAATTAATTATTGTAAACTACAACATATTCTTAACATTTAATAAATTTTTGAAGAGCGCTAAGAACTTAGGTTTTCATGGCTAGGATTGCTATAAAGATTGGCTCTAATACACTTCATTTTATACAGATATATTTATGTTATATGAAATATTTTAAGGAGAGATATAAAACTTTATAGAGTTCTCCCATATATATGTTTTTTCTTCTTTTTTTTTGCAGGGGCGCAGTTCTCATTATGGGAGGAATTACCTTGAACGTATTTGTGGCGGCTATATTTTATGAACCAGTGGAACAGCATATGGTGCGAATTCCTAGAATGAAAAAGATGTTGGAGGATATTGAAGAAGAAGATATTGGCATCGTGCTGAAATTTGAGCCGGTGCACGAAACTGTTGAAGATGAAAATTGTGTAAATTCGCCAGGATTGCCTTACAATTCTCCACCAGCACATGATTTGCCAAATTACAATTCAGTTGAAAATGACCCTCAGTTTGTCAGAAGTGCGTCAGCTGCGGTTGTTCAGCACTTGGGAAAAAATCCTGACGATTTTCAATCATGTTCCTCCTCTCGCATACGCAAAGTTAGTACTCCTGTACACCTACCGCAACGTAATCAAACATTCGCTACGCCGGGACAAATGAATTCGCAATATTCCCTTTATGCTGTTCATGAAACTGGACGATCCAGTAATAAATTGGAACGTATGAACGCCTTACGTTGTAATTCTAAGAATAGGTTGTCACGTCCTTCTCCATCTACAAGTAGTTTTCAGTATATAAGCACACCATACCATGGAAGTACCCTTTCCTTTCAACCGAAGGAATTTTCGTCACATTTATCATTGAGATCAGTTGGGAGCGGAACGGCTGTAAGTGCTATCGCTGGTTCCGATCCAATGTTAGACTCCAACAAACAACCTCATCCGGAGGAGGAAAAACGCACAAAATTCTTTGATTTAAGCCTTTTAAGGGATCCAACGTACTTAGTTATTTTAATATCAAATTCTACCAATGCAATAGGTTATACAAATTTTATAATTCTTTTGCCGGCGTACGGTGTGGCCTTAGGATTTGATAAATCGTTAGCAGCCTACCTTATATCTATAGTTTCTACCACTGATCTTATTGGACGAATTGGTGGATCTGCTCTTTCAGATATGGGCTTTATACCCAAAACGTGGTATTTTATCGGGGGTTTGGCTATTTCGGGAATAAGTTTAGCAATTCTACCATTTTCAACAAGCTACAGCATGGTTGGCTTTTGGTGTGCGGTGTTTGGATTAGCATCTGGTGTCTATGTGGGTATTACGGCTGTTATAATGGCAGATATGCTGGGTACGGAACGCTTGACTTCATCATACGGCATAAGTTTATTTGTCAATGGTATTCTACAGCTAGTTGGCCCTCCAATATGTGGTCTTTGGTTCGAGTCTGTGGGAAAGTATAATTCTCTCTTTCACACCCTTGGAATTATTCTACTTGCTGGCGCAAGTCTATGGAGCTTCATGCCCCTAATAAACAAACGTAAATCGAAAGATGATTCAACTGATGATAATATAGAATAAAAATCCGGGTTAAGCTGGGTTAACAATGGTATAACTATACTGACAGCACATTTATATATGGTGTATATATATATATATATATATATACCATAGTAAAAGCAACGATTACATTAATTGTGAAATATTGACTTATGAATACAGAAAATTCACCACGACTGGTATATTTGTTCAAAATGTTAAAATCGCCCTTTCTGAATACAAGCTTTGCTTCAAATAATTTGCATTAAAAACTATGGGATTGATCGGTTTGCCTTTACCTTGTGATGTCGGCTTTTTATTTGTAAAATTATTTTCTATAACCTTTTAAATAAGTTTTGTTACCGATTTTTTGCTAGACAGCGGGATACTATAAAAAAGAATATGTATTTTTTTTACTTTAGATTATAATTCAATCAGTGTGTTGTCCTAAATAAAATTTAAACAAATATGAATAAATTAGACCTCACAATTTCTAAATTTTTTCTACGAATTAGATAAAGCGAAATTTTAATGATTATATTATTTGCCCGGAAGAAATCTTCAGTAGAATTAATTATTTCATATAACTAAACAAAATTAATTAGACCAATTGTATTAAGGTTCACCAGAAATATAATTTATCAACAGTTAGAACTTTCCAAATGTCAACGGATATCTTTGATAAGCATTTACATTGACTTGTTATAATTTTACATATTTTGTTTGTAAGAATTCGTATTGCATTTTAATTAGTAGCAAATGTATGCCTCGAGATGAAATAAAGCCTTAATAGAATAAGAAAATCCGTCTGCATAAAATTCCGCTGTCTAATATAAATATGTTATTATTTAAAAATGCCTCTTATGTAATACACCTTAGCATTTTAGCTTTTTGTTAGGGGATGCAAGATACTTAATTCTAGAACTAAATCAGTCTTTCAACAGTTCTAAATATGTCCCATGAGGTTATCATAGATGAAATGAATGACATTCGGTGCTACCTATATTTTGCAGATTTAAATATACAGGGTATTTCATACAGGAAATGCACATTGTAAGGAGGTGCAAAAGTTTGTAAAACAATAGTGCTAGTCATAAAATGATTATAATTAAAATTGAAATTGTACTTCTATATTAATTTAATTATCAGAATTGTAAAAAATTTTGTATTATTTTGTACATTTATTAAATGTAGTTGTGACAAAAATACACAAATAAATTATTTTGCTATATAAATGTTTGTTATTCAGTTTTCAGTAGTTTTTACATCTAATTTTCGAATGATTTCAGAAATAACGCAGCAATAAATTATAGCTGAAAAATCAAATTAGAGCCAATACGTCCAAAACCCCCAAAATACCGAATGGAGCTATATGGGGGCAACCCTGAAACTTGGGTAAGGTTTTCTGTTAGAATTTGGTGGTCTTTATAACCTTTGGGTTGGCGCCTGTGGAATTCTCTTTAACTGCTTCTCTAACCCTTTCGCAAGTAAAACACGACACACGATGTTTTCAGTTCAACGGTTTATTAAAGACAGACAAAATGTAAAAAGGAATTGCAGAAATTCATTATGCGTGTGTTAGTGCGCTAATACAATACAGTGTTGTGTTTTAACGTATAAATAATTACAATGCCATATTATTTCAACACTCTTCCTCAATGAAATTATTTATAACAGAAAACAAATACATTAGGTTAAACTTTTAATCCTAGCACATCGACAAGATTCGTATGTTTAACTCTAGGCAAATTCTTAGTAAGTATATCAGCTATCATAGTGTTAGTAGGTTCATATTTTAATTCAATTTCTTTACTATCTAACTTCTCTCTTATAATGTCGATATGCTTGCTTCGAACTTTATATACAGGATTTTTTACTAAATGCTGCGCACTCATATTATCTCCAAATATGGTTACTGGATCTTTTGTTTCATGTACACCCAACTCTGTCAGTGCATCTTCGGTACAGTATTTTTCGGTTAATTGCACATCAAAACTTGCACAAATGTTTGTTCAATTAACCGAGGAATCAATTATCCGAACCCGGTTAATTGAATAGTTTGTTCAATTACAGTTTTTCCTTAGCAATAAACACCTAGTCTTTTTCACAAATTATGTCAAATATGTATGTAAAAAATGGCAGATTATTTTTCAATTATTATTATGTAATTAACCGGTGAAAAATAAAAGGAAATTTATTTTTGATGACATGAATTTTGAACCAATTAAGCGGGAAAATCAATTAATTAATTATCCGAGAAAATTTACATGTATTTTCCCATGAAATATTTTTTGCCCCATCATGTGGTTCAATTAAGCGTGGAAACCAATTAACCGTAGGGTCAATTAACCGAAAAATACTGTACTACAGAGAGCTACACACTTTTGCTTCTGTGAACACCATGAAAAAATTCCTCCACCAAGAACGAACGCATATCCCGAATACGACTTACGATTCGTTGGGTCACTACCCCAGTCAGCATCAGCATACCCCTCAACATTCTTTCTTGTTTGTTGATAGACTAACTTAAAATCAACTGTCTTCTTTAGATAGCGTAGAATATGCTTGATCGCTGATTCGTGTTCTTGGCGCAAGCTTTATCACCGAATGCATGATGTCTGACCTGGTACAAATAGCAATATGCATTACTGCACTCTCACAGTTACTGTTGTTACACGTCGTATTGAAACTCTCATCTAACGGAGTTGAAGCAGGTTTACATTCTTCCATGTTGTGGATTTAGCTCCTTAATTAACTGAGACTGGTCAATGGCTATACGACCACGATAACCTTCACGCCCTATATGGATGCCCAGAAAATGATTTAGAGGACCCTTATCTACGCATTCCAAATTTTCGCATATATATTTCTTTATTGCGTTCATGCTTTCCATATCATGACTGCCAATGATAAGGTCGCCTACATAAACTGCTTTTACACACAATTTACCTCTAATATTCATACTGTATAGACATGGATCATTAACGCATGGACTAAACCCGGCCTTTCTTAACACCTCATCCAGCGTAGAATTCCAAGCACGTCCTGACTGCTTTAGACCATAAATTGCCTTATACAACTTCAACACACGATCTGGATACTGTTTACTAGTAAACATTTCAGGCTGCTTCATATACACCTCCTCGGTCAGGTCGCTATTTAAGTATGCGGTACACACATCCATCTGATGTAAATACATTTTCTTCTCTACCGCCAACGCCAGCACCATTCTTATTGTCTCGTACCTTACTACCGGAGAAAAACTTTCGGTGTATACTTCTGGCTACACCCTTTGGCCACTAGTCGAGACTTGAACTTTTCAACTCCTCCTCTTTTATTCTTTTTCACGCTGAACACCGATATGCACGCTATGGGTTTCTTACCAACTGGTTTTTCCACTAAGGACCACGTTTTATTGTTCAAAAGTGCATCATACTCTCTCTTCATCGACTTTTTCCATTACTTGGAGTGCTCACCAGTTAAAGCCTCCTCCACTGTTTGTGGAATGCTGACACCATTCTTTAACATATTTTCCTCTAAAATGCTTTGTCTCTCCTTTACCATAGCTTGAAGCAGTTCTTCTCTATCTTCGGCCTCGTCCTCATTGAAACCTATGAACTCTTCCTCGCTAGAGACGCTCTCATTCATTTCTTGATTTTGTACTTGTGGACACAGCAACAAGTCTGACACATCATATAACACATTCTGCTCCTCACTCTGGGAACTCAACTTTGCCATTGTTTTGTCAACGAACATCACATCACGTTTTTATGCTACAGCACGTTTTTCGGCATCATAAATTCTATATGATTTTGCAGTAAGCGAGTAACGGACCATTGTATGCATTTTTCCTTTAGCGGCAAACTTCTTATGACTTGTCTTGTCCAAACCCACAACTGCTTCACCAAATACTCTAAGATGTTTGAGGTTTGGTTTCTTACCAGTAAATGATTCATATGGTGTCACCTTCTCTAGGATCTTGGTTGGACATATGTTCCTTATATATACCGCCGTAGCTACTGCTACCGCCCACAATGCATTTTCTAACCCGGACTGCAACAACATTGCTCTTGTCATCTCCATGATTGTCCTATTGGCACGCTCGGCCACGCCGTTTTGCTGCGGTGTGTATGGGACCGTCAACTCACGCACGATTCCAGTTTCTCTAAAAACGCATTAAAGTCCTTGTTCACAAATTCGCGTCCGTTGTCGCTTCTTAAAATCTTTATTCTTTTGCCAGATTGGCACTCAGCCATTTCTTTAAATATTTAAAATTTAGTGAGAGCTTTGTCCTTACTCTTTAAGAAATACACAAATATGCGTCTCGATTTATCGTCAATAAATGTTATAAAATATCTTGAACCACCCAACGATTCCGTATCAAATGGGCCGCATAAGTCTGTATGCACTCTTTCAAGTATATTTTCGCACGCGTTTCACTGCTCTCAAATGGCTTTACACATATTTTGGCTTTCATACATACTTCAAACGGAATGTCATGCACCTCTTTCAAGTCATTCATACCGATTACCATTTTATTTGTTACTAATTGTTGCAAGTTCTGAAAGTTTAAATGACAGAATCTCTCATGCCACATTACCGCTTTTTCATTAATAACCCGAATAAAACACATTTCTTTTTCACTGTTAATTTTGTAGAAACTCTGCTCTTTCTTTGCTTGAAACATTACAGTACCGTTTCTGTTCTTTATTTTCGCTCCCGAATTATCAAATACTACGTCATAATTATGTTCGCATAATTTGTTTACCGACACAAAATTCGCATTCATCGCAGGCGCATACAACATTTTGTCTAAAATGAACGTACATTTGCCAACGCTCATCTTTACTCTGCCTTTGCCTTCGGCCGTTAAAAACTGCTCTCCCGCCAAGTACAAATTCTCTCTATGTTCTTTCATATCAACAATAACGCTTTCTTTAGCCTCTGCTTTTTCACTGTTCTCTTTCTTGCTATTGCTTTTTGCTGCATAGTGACCGCGACGTCCACAGCTGAAGCATTTGAAGTTTTTTGCTTTTGATGTTTTGCTGAATCTTGCACAAGTATTCGTGGAATTGAACTTTCTAGATTTCGCCATGTATGCTTGTACCTCACTGCTGTTTTCTGTTGCACTATTCTGGAATTTTCTTTCTCCTTCCTCCAACAGCTTTACTTTCAAAACATCGAACGACGGCAGGGAATCTCTGGTCTCCATGGCTACTACAAATTTCGCTTACGATTTAGGCAAACTCGACAACAATATTATGACTACCAGCTCAACCTGTATTTCGATTCCGACTTCGGATAATTTGTCCACAAAATTGGAAAACACTTTTAAAAAATTTTGGACACTTTCACCATCAGACATACCCAGATTCAAAAATTTTTGTACAATGAGACTTTTCTCACAGGACCACTTGGACGATGGACTTCTTACAAACGCTTTCAAGCACCTGTGCTATCTTACACGATTTTATGTGGTTTAGCTGTGAAGCCTTCACACTGAGAACAAGCGTTGCCAGTGCTTTCTCGTCTTGCACTTTCCATTTCCATAAATTTCACATAAAGCGCGAAGTGGATTAGTTAGTTCATAATTATGTCTAACTAGGGATAAGTGAAGAGGTAAATAATTACGTGTTCTACGGGATGGAATATTAAATTTTATTTCACCGGTTAAAAAGTTTGAGTCAATTTGTCTACGCAACAATTTTATTATAAATATTGCTCTAAGCATTAATCGCCTTCTTTCTAGAGTTGGAAGATCAATTAGTTTCAGACGGTTAAGTACGGTGGAAGTGCTTCAAGTGGATTCCAAGGCAGACCCCTAAGAGCAAATAAATGAAACTGAGTTGGAACCGATTCTATTTTATTAGAATAATTTTTATAAAATGGACTCCAAAGTACAGAGCCGTATTCCAATAAGGCTAATGAATAGGTCAAAAAATTCCTTAGACCACCGTTTTATAAAACCAAGCAACGATTTAGCTTTATTAACAGATGATTCAATATGTAAATGAAAACGCAATTTGGTATTGTTACGAATATAACTTTAGATTTAAGTTAATTTAGATTAATTCCGTTAATTTAAGAATTTGAATTGTAACGTAAATTTCTACTACGCAGTTTATTTGAATAACTTCACAACAACAACTACTGTATAGACTTTTCTACATCCTTCCATTTCCTCTTTCATTTTCTATTTTGTTATTGTCGTACAATTCTTGTTAAACGTCATCATTGATGATCGCTTAATTCCTCTTTCTTTGTTACCCCCTCGCCTGTATATGTTTTGTTGTTATTGTTTACTCAATGTAAGTTTGTATGTGTGTTTGTTGCATTGGTAGATTGTTCGTGATCTAGGCGTTACCAGATCGTCTAGAAACTTCTGTAGCGACAAGCGAGGCTCATATAAATAGGGGAAATGGAAAGGCAGTGAGTCAGTTGTGAATCAGATCGCGAATTGAAACCGTCAAGTAACGTAAAGCTGTAAAGTAACGTGCAAAGTAAAGTTGTGTGAATAAAATCATTGTAATAATCGTAATCAGAAAGAACCCGCGTTTTATTTAGTACGAACTGTGCTGGGAAATAAAACAACGTCTACACGGGATTAAGCAAAATCCAAGAACGTAACAATTGGTGTCGGAAGTGAGATTACGATAATACTACGATGAAATTTAAGGACCTACGAGTGGAAGACTTAAAGAAGGAGCTCAATAAATTGGAATTGTCCTCTACTGGCAACAAGGCTGAGCTACAAAAACGTCTGTTGGATGAGTTCGAGCGCCGTGATATGAACATCGATACATATGAGTTTGACAGTAAGGATGAAGTGGATTTATCGGAAATGGGCGAATCCAACGGTGGGGAAGTCTCGTCAGTAGCTGCCAAGGGTGACGATTTCAGAGAAATGCTGGCCAAAATGTTTGAGGAAAATTTCAGAAGGTTCGAAGAGAATTCCAGAAAGTCAGAAGAAAACACGAGACGAATGTTCGAAGAGAATTCCAGAAAGTTAGATGAAAATTCGAGAATAATGAACGAGAAACTCGAGAACATTACAGAAGTTATTGGAAGGAGAGTGGAAACCGTGGAGGTCCAAATTAAAGAGTTGGATAAGAAAGTGCAGTCGGTTGACGAGAAGATTCTGTCTGTGGATGAGAAATTTCTGGTCCACGACCACAGGGTTACGAATCTGGAGAAGAAAATGACGGAACTGGAAATTAAAGGTGGCCCGGTGCGAGTTCCTGATAACACACTAAAAATCAAACCTCCTGTATTCGACGGCTCTACGTCATTCAATGTTTTCAAGTTACAATTCGAGACAGTGGCTTCTAGAAATTCGTGGAACGACAGCGACAAAGCGGTTGCATTACTTCTGGCATTGAAGGGCAGTGCTGCTGATGTTATACAGAGTATTCCTGTCGCTTCTAGGAATAACTATGAAGATGTTATTGCTGCACTGGAACGTAAGTACGGTGGCGAACATAAACAAAACATCTACCTTATGGAACTAAGGGGAAAAGTACAGAGGGCAAACGAGACGTTACAAGACTTTGCAGCTGAGGTGGAACGTTTGGTGCTAATGGCGTATCCAGGAGAGAATCACCCATTGCTGGACGGTATGAAAATCGAAACCTTTGTGAATGACATACGTGACCCTGAGATTAAATGTGCAACATATGCGTCACCAAAAGCGTCGTTTGCCGAAACTGTGTCGTTTGCCCTAGCCCAAGAGACGGCCAGAATAATTGTTAAGCCCCAGACCCACAAGATTCGCCAACTGGAGACCGAAGGTTGCGAACCCAAATCTCTCGTTAACTCGATCAAGGACGCCATGAGGCAGGTAATCGAAGAAACAAAGTTAGTAGGGATGACTAAGCCCAGGATTAGGTGCTTCAACTGCGATAAAGCAGGTCATATTGCGCGCGAATGCAGAGTTAAGCGCAAACGATCTAGGTCGCTGTCACCACCTCCAACGAAAGATGGTAGAAGAATGGATCAACAGTCCACCAAGGAGCCACCGTTAAACTAAATCGAGCCAGTCCAGCGGGGCATGAACTGGCTCCCATCGACGATGGCCCCACAATCTCCATAGCAATAGTACAACAGAAAAGTCACAACCTAACAACAACTGGGTACATCAATGGTGACAAGCGAGTTCTGACGTTAGATACTGGCGCATCAAAGTCCATCATAAGATCAGATCTGGTAAAGGGAAAAATAACGCAACTTAATGGAGTCAGACTGCGCACAGCAACGGGGGAGCCCGCGGCAGTACACGGCAAGATTACCCTGAGACTAACTATTGCCAATAAATCGGTGAATTACGAGTTTATAGTTGCCGATATCGTAGACGAAGTGATAATAGGCGCAGATTTTATGATTGCCTTTGGTATCAATCTGGATATGAAAGAACGTGTAATGACCTGGTCTGACGTCGAAATTCCGTTAAACGTGGGCTACGATGAAAGTACACCCATTAGACGTCTGACTACGGACCATCCAGAGATAATACCGCCCTGCGCCGAAGCAATAATATGGGTACCAATGAATGGAGATTGTGGAGCCGAGAAGTTGTGGGTGGTGGAACCAGCAGAAAACACAAACAGTAACATCCTAATAGCGAATGCCGATGTTGGACAATGCACACCAGCTGAAGCTGTAATTAATTTGGAAACTAGCACCGAAAAGCCAGCAGCCATGGAGAAGAAGCACCTCGACGGCTACATAAAAGAGTGGACACACCAATTATCACCTTCCGAGAGGAACAAGGCTAAGCAGCTATTATGGAAATATGCCTCTACCTTTGCGTTGACAAAAGAGCACCAAGGAAGAACATCAGTGGTGAAGCATGAAATCAATACAGCAGACGCGAGACCCATTAAACAGCCTCCAAGAAGTGTTCCCCTGGCAAAAAGGGACGAGGTCCAGAAGCTGATAAGTGAAATGGAAAAAAGTGGTGTAATAGAACCATTGTCAAGTCCATGGTGCTCCCCAGTGGTCTTGGTCAAGAAGAAAGACGGAAGCACCCGATTTTGTGTGGACTACCGACAGTTGAATGATGTCACCAAGAAAGACAGCTATCCGCTCCCAAGAATCGACGACACATTGGACACATTAGCCGGGACGTCATGGTTCTCCACCCTCGACCTGCAGAATGGGTACTGGCAAGTAGAGATCGCCGAGAAAGATAAGGAGAAAACAGCATTTGGCGTAAATGGGGGTCTCTGGCAGTTCAATGTCATGCCATTCGGACTCTGCAACGCCCCGGCTACATTTGAAAGGCTGATGGAGCGTGTGTTAAAAGGGCTGCAGTGGAAGTCGTGCCTCATATACCTGGATGACATCATAGTCATGGGACGCAACTTCGACGAACACATCAAGAACTTAAAGGATGTTCTACAGCAGCTTTCGTCTTCAGGCCTCAAGCTGAACCCAAAGAAGTGCAGTCTCTTCCAACGAGAGGTGAAGTTCCTGGGGCACCACGTGACGCCGGAGGGCATATCGACGGATAAGGAGAAAATTCAAGCCGTCAGAGATTGGCCGCAGCCCCGAAATCTCCATGAGCTGCGAAGCTTTCTGGGTCTCTGCACATACTACCGTCGATTTGTCCCAAATTTTGCCAACATCGCCGCCTGTCTACACCGCTTGACGCAAAAAGGCCAGAGGTTTCAGCGGGGCAACGACCAAGAAGAGGCGTTCGGTAAACTCAAAGACATGCTATGCAGAGCCCCCATTTTGGCATACCCTATACCTGGCGGAAAGTTTGCTCTGGACACAGACGCAAGTGCGTGCGGCATTGGTGGCGTCCTTTCCCAGGAAATCGACGGACAGGAAAAAGTCATCGGGTACTACAGCCGGACATTGTCGAAGCCTGAGAGGAATTACTGTGTGACGAGGAGAGAGCTGCTTGCTGTCCTTGAGTGCGTTAAACACTTCCACAAATACCTATATGGCCAGCATTTCCTGCTGAGGACCGACCACGCTGCTCTCCAATGGTTGCTGCAGTTTAAGAATCCGGAAGGTCAACTAGCCCGTTGGATCGAGAGGCTCCAGAGTTATGACTTCAGAATCGAGCACCGAAAAGGCGGAAAGCACGGTAATGCTGATGCCCTGTCTCGTCGGCCATGCAAGGTAGAATGCAGGCATTGCTCAAAGGCTGAGAATAAAGAAAATATCGTTGATGTCCGACTATTGCAGTTTGAGTCGGGTGAAGATTGGTCGACGGAACAACGAAGAGATCCAATTCTGGGCAAAATAATTTCGGCCATAGAAACGGGCAAGCGACCTAGTCGCAAAGAAATTACCTCCGAAAGCCCTCTTTTAAAATCCTATTGGGCCCAGTGGGACAGTCTACTTATAATAGATGGTTGTTTATATCGCAAATGGGAAAGTGAGGACGGTAAATCTCACCGGAACTTGATCGTCGTCCCCGACTCCAAAATAAGAGATGTCTTGTCGGAGTTTCACGATGGGCCAAGTGGAGGACATCTTGGCATAGCAAAGACCGCTGAAAAGGTAAAGCAGAGATTCTACTGGGTCGGCTGTCAAAAATCCATTGCCGACTGGATCGCCAATTGTGAAAGGTGCATAAGAGCTAAAGGTCCAACACGGAAGAGTCGAGGCTACATGCAGCAGTATAATTCAGAAGCCCCTTTTGAAAGAATCGCAATGGATGTAGCTGGACCGTTCCCCACAAGCGACTTTGGGAACGGTATGTCTTAGTGGTCATGGATTACTTCAGTAAATGGCCAGAGGTTTATGCTATCCCAAATCAAGAAGCCAGGACAATTGTGGATGTGTTCAGCAAAAATTGGATTTGTCGCTATGGTGTTCCATCTGAGGTTCATTCCGATCAAGGTAGGAATTTTGAATCAGCGATCTTCAAGGAAATGTGTGACTCCTACGGAATCAAGAAAACCAGAACGATGCCCCTACATCCACAATCAGATGGCATGGTGGGAAGATTTAATCGCACCCTGGAAGAACATCAACGGAAAGTGGTGGACAGTGGCCAACGAGACTGGGATGAGCATATTCCAAAGTTTTTACTGGCTTATAGATCGGCCATTCATGACTCCAGCCAAAGTTCTGTTCGGAAATGAATTAAAGCTACCTGGCAATTTGATATTCGGTGCTACCCCAAACGACGATGTGAACCAAGAAGAAGACAGTCAGAACTCTTTTAGTAAAGTCCACGATGCAGTTCGCCATCGAATAAAAATGGTTAGCAACCACATGAAGGCAAGGTACGATCGAGCGGCAAATACCGATGGGTTCCAAGAAGGGCAACTGGTACTATTGTTCAACCCACAACGAAAGAAAGGATTTTGCCCCAAATTGCAAACGCACTGGGAAGGACCCTACAAGATTGTCACGAAAATGAATGACGTCGTTTATCGCATCCAGAGGAGTGACAGTCCCAGGTCGAAGATGAAAGTTGTACATTTGGAGCGGCTGGCCCCCTACGGAACGGGAACTGTGCCTATTCGGGACGAACAGGCTTAAGCGGGGGGCAATGTTACGAATATAACTTTAGATTTAAGTTAATTTAGATTAATTCCGTTAATTTAAGAATTTGAATTGTAACGTAAATTTCTACTACGCAGTTTATTTGAATAACTTCACAACAACAACTACTGTATAGATTTTTCTACATCCTTCCATTTCCTCTTTCATTTTCTATTTTGTTATTGTCGTACAATTCTTGTTAAACGTCATCATTGATGATCGCTTAATTCCTCTTTCTTTGTTACCCCCTCGCCTGTATATGTGTTGTTATTGTTTACTCAATGTAAGTTTGTATGTGTGTTTGTTGCATTGGTAGATTGTTCGTGATCTAGGCGTTACCAGATCGTCTAGAAACTTCTGTAGCGACAAGCGAGGCTCATATAAATAGGGGAAATGGAAAGGCAGTGAGTCAGTTGTGAATCAGATCGCGAATTGAAACCGTCAAGTAACGTAAAGCTGTAAAGTAACGTGCAAAGTAAAGTTGTGTGAATAAAATCATTGTAATAATCGTAATCAGAAAGAACCCGCGTTTTATTTAGTACGAACTGTGCTGGGAAATAAAACAACGTCTACACGGGATTAAGCAAAATCCAAGAACGTAACAGTATCTAAAATGATACCAATATCTGTAAACGAGTCTACAGAGTCAAGTTTATGAGAACCTATAAAGTAATCAATAGATATGGACCTGGTCCTAGAAAGAGTTAATTTTTTGCACTTT